GTTCTGCTATTATCAGAGCAAAAATCTTGTAATCTGCATTTACCAGTGAGATTGGTCTGTAATTTTGTATAAACATCTGGTCTGTGTCCACCTTTGGTAAATAATACAATATTAGCCTCCGTCCATGATAACGGTGTCTTCGCCTCTTTCAACACAGCATTATAAACTTCCAACAGCGTTGGAACAAGCATATCCTGGAATTCTTTATATATTTCCGCTGGCAGTCCATCCGGCCCTGCAGCTTTATTATTCTTTTGTCTTTGTATGGCCTCAATTATCTCTGATATTTTAATTTCTTCATTGAGCATATCTTTTATTTCCTCTGGTATCTTTCGCAGATCTGACTTTTCCAGATATTGTAGTATACCTTCCTTTGTATAGTCTTGGTTTTCTCTATATAAATGTTCATAGAACTCGGGGGTAATCCTTTTTTCCCCCTCTAGTTGATAGACAATGGCTGTCTTGTTTAAAGTGGCCACATATTCTTTGAGTTATTGAGGTAAGATGACCCCCAAGATTGTGCACCAATCATCTAGGACTAAAGAGCAAAAATCCTAGAGAGACAAAAATCCATAGCCACTCAGGCTAGGATTGAGTGTGAGTTTGTTCCTCCCCATTCAGATTCACACAGCCTCACATGGATGAACACACCCCTGACATCCCAGCTTTGAATTTTTGTAGTCCAAGTACCATAACCCAACTCTTAAAGAATATACTGGTGTTTTTGCATCAACTCATAATTACCTAATATCTGTACACTTGCAAACAATAGGAAAACTGGACTTACACATGAAGAGAAAGATTTGTGATGTTAATAAATGCAAGTGGCCCAATCTGCTTTTTGTACAGTGCTTCTCTTCCATTCAGTTTTTGCAGAAGAATTATTCCAAGAATCTTAAAAGAAAACCAGATGTATTTCTGAGATAAGCACAGAAAAAAGACATTTGGAATGGAAAGAAATAACATGGAAACAAATTCCCATCACTGGTATTCTGTTGTTCTAGCCCTATCCCCATCCTTGGTCATTTTGGTTAGTCTTTTCTACAGATTTTCCAGTCTACAATATTCTTTTTATTCATTATTTATTAAATGTATTGGCTGCCCATCTTACCTCAGGGTAAGATGCAATTTATGAGTTGCAGCAATCAAAATTTCCTTCTCTTTGGTAATGAAAATGGCCTTAGAGAGTAAGTAAATACCACTTGCAAATGCCTACAATAAAGTCCTGATTACCACTTTTACTAAAGGAAAAGGTTTGGAAAGACTGTTTGGAATGAGTATACTAATTAATTATATATTAATGTGAGGAAGGTAAATACTTCTAGCCTTTGCTATTTTTCAACTCCTGTGCTACCAGGCCTATTCAGTCATCTTCTGGGAACAATTTGCAAATGTAAACCACCCTGGAATCTGATAGGAGACAAAGCTAACTATTACAATTATATTTGTAATCATGTCTTCCTCAATCTGACCCCAGTTGCGCTCCTAATACTGAATCGTTTAAAGCAGGAGTATCCAACCCTGAAAATTTAAGACCTCCTCCTCCTCCTGGAATCTACAAAATCTACAGAGCATCCTGCATTTGATTTTAGTGGAGATTATAAAGTGATATTGAAGCTAACTAATTCTTTCTGCTTTACGTAGGGGCCATGCAGTCCTATACATGGTCTCTCACGTATACTGTAACTACAGCTGCTGGATCACCTGCTGAAAACTCTCAACCGCTGCCTTGCATGAGAAGTCCTCATGTCCCTCATTCATCTGTGACACATAGGATACCTGTTTATCACCACAGAGAAGAGCATGGGTAGGTTAATACTTTTTTTTTGTAGAGGAAAGGGTAATCATTAGCATGCAACACCCATCCTTAGCATTGCCCCTTTGAATTATTGTTTTATTTATATCCCATCATGGGAGCCATGTGGTACCGGGGTTAGAATACAGTACTGCAGGCTACTTCTGCTGACTGCTGAGATGGCAGTTCAAATCTTAACCAAGCTCAAGATTGACTCAGCCTTCCATCCTTTCAAGGTGGGTAAAATGAGGACCCAAATTGTTGGGGGCAATATGCTGACTCCGTAAACAGCATAGAGAGGGTTATAAAGCACTGTAAAGTGGTATATAAGTCCAAGTGCTATTGCTATCATTACTATTTTTTTCAAACAGTTCAAGGTGGCATCTCCAACACCTCTTCCTCCTCCTATTTTCCACAAAACAAGCCTGTAAAGGTGGTTTGGGATGAGAGAGTGTGACTGGCCTAAGGTCATCCAGCTGGCTTTCATGGTTAAAGTGGGACTCGAACTCCCAATATCTGGCTTTGTAGCCTGGTGCCTTAACCACTAAACCAAACTAACTTTTCCAATTAGCCTCAGTTTGGGGAAGGGATTATTGTATGAAATACAGTTCCAAGATTCTTCTATGTTTTTCCAGGTACACGGGAAGTTACAACTATGGTACTTACGGAAACCAGCACTCCCACCCAATGCAGAGCCAATATCCATCTTTACCACATGACAGCACTATTTCTGCGCCCCTCCATTACTCAGCTTATCACAGAAACTCTTCACAGGTCAGTGTCAATCCCTCCCCATCAATTTCCTAGCTCATTACATTAAATCAGTGCCCCCCTCCAACCTTTTGGACACCAGGGACCTGTTCCATGGAGAGAAGTTTTTCTGCAGACTGGATGGGGCTTGGTTTTGTGTGTTGCCTGCATCCCGTGAATGGGGTTTTACTTGTTTGCAGGGCTCAGTTTCTGGCATGCCATTGAACAAAGCCAATCCATTGAGAGCCCTGAGTGTTGGGACACCTGGGTTAAATAAAACATCCATCATGGCAGCCACAAGAAGTGATTTAAAAAAAAAAACCCAGGGTGGTAGCTGCGGCCACAAGATCAAACTCTGCCCCTTTTCACAAGTGCCCACTCAGTGTTTGATTATTCATTTGCTTTTAAGTTTGTTAGTTGATAAGAAAATTGACAAAGTTCTGACAAATGCAGGCTATATTCTTATAATATTTATGAACAGTAAACAATTAACCTTCTAAAGAGAAACTTTCAGAGGCCTCCAGGTTTGGTGTGCCTATTTTATTTTCCACACTGGTTTACTGCTTTTGAAATAATTAAAAGATAAAAATAAAAGAAATAAAAGAAAAAATAAAATAATTGTGAACAAAACAATTTTTTTTCTTTAAATGGAGCATGGATGGGTGAATTCTTAGGTTCAGAGCACTTGCATCCTTCACCTTGTTGAGTTATTTGTATCCCATCAAGGATGGTATTCACTTACTTTCCCTACCAGTTCACAAATGAACTGTGAGTGTGCGTGAACCCCGAATTTGCGGACTGGATCCATCTGGGGTAGTGCAACCACATCCAGAATTAAAGATGGCAAAGTCCCGGATCTCGGGGGCTCCATACACCTAGGCTCCCATACAGGGGTGGGTTTCAAAAAAGTTTGGAACCTCTTCTGTAGGTGTGGCCTGCTTTCCGGGTCCCCTGGTGGAACCTCTTCTAACCGGTTCGGTAGATTTGACGAACCGGTTCTACCGAATAGGTGCGAACTGGTAGGAACCCACCTCTGCTCCCATAGCCTCTAGGCACTGAGAGAGGGTAGTAACAGGACAGTAGAGGACTGTATCCTGAGCTAGAGCAGGATTTTGTAATCCCACTTTTATTATTATTATTATATACTTTATTCATTAAACATGAAACTCAGTCAACTGAACCTTCAAAAATGCATCACAAATACCATTGACTGGTGGTAATGGTTGATACGGGTGGCTGCCAGCATCTTAGGTATCAACCAAGTACCTTCTTAAGTTGTACGATGCTCTGAGTAGTGCAGTTATTTGCAGTTCTGCTGGTGTTGTTGCAGGAAGCTGCAATTTCTTGATGTGTTTTATAAAATTCTTGGACATGGTACCAAGTGCTCCGATGACAATGGGTATCATTGTTTTTATCATCATCATTATCATCATCATTTCTTTTATTCATTATACATGAAACTCAGTCAAGTTAACATTTAAAGATTGGTCACAAATACCATTGATATATGGGCATTTTTAAAAGACCAGAGAAATATATTACAACTCTGTAAGGCTAAATATTTGAAAGCAATATTTCGCTTTATATCAGATTCTCTAAAACGTGAAAACAACTCTTATCATGTTAAGGGTTGCATTCATAAGGAAAATATTTTTGCTTTGAAGAGAGACACCTTAAATTCTGCATAATCAACCAGGAAGCTGAAGGATAAGAAGAAAGAAATTATTCTTCAGCCTGATCTTCAAGAACCCAATCTTGGTTGGGCGGGAGGAGAACTTAAAATAGCATTTTCTAAAACAATAACAGGAAAGAACTAGAGCTCATTTCAAATTTGGGGGAGAAAGGGCCTTAACAACCATCAGCTTAAAGTCACCCCAACTTAAAGGGGCCAGTGTTTCTTGTCAAGGTTCAACAGCATGGGGAAGGCAAGTGAGTTGACCCAGAAAATGGTAATTTCCTGTCAAGAGCTCTCCAACAAACATCGCCTTTATACTACGCAAAGATCAGTAGGCCCCAGTGTTTTGAGATCAGCATGCTTAAGCACCCTTCATTAAACCGGATGCGGAGTGTGAAAGGTGATTGAGGCTTCTTGGGCAGGCATCCGCACAGATGGTGAAGCCTTGGACACTCCAACAAGGCTGAATAGATGCTTCACTGGTGGAGTTAATAGGCAGGCAGGGTCCAAGGCGGATTTTAAAAATATTGTTTCTCAATAGTCTCTTCACTGGAAGTGGGGGAAAAAAGTCCCTGACTCATTTGCAATTAGCTGACCTACCCGTACAAATCTTTCCATGCTGGGGTTTCAGCCATCACAGATTTTATTGTAAAAAAATACTACATATTTGCAATGGCATATTATTTCCCAGCAATTATTCTTTCTTATATTCATGACATATTCATAAACGCAGCTGCATCAATGGGGAGTGGGGGAGGGGAATGACCGGGCTGGCTATACAGAGAAACAACTCACTGTGTCCCTGTTCCCCTTGTTTTTACAGTTGTTTATTAGCCCTTTCTTTTTGTCTGGCCTTGCTTGCCTCAGAATGTTAATAAAATGGGGAATGATGGATCATCGAATCCATGGCCATGTTTAAGGAGACTCTTTTCTTGTCGGTCAATCTGCACTGCCAATGAGAAGACAGAGTTTTATCCGACCAAGTTTCAGTAATGGCAACTACATCGTATCTGCCTTCATGTACTAATAATTCAAGTTCACCCTGTTTGCTCCCTAAATTTTGAGGGTTTATAGGCATTTCAGTCCTTTATGTGTCTTTGGTATGTTCCTTATATCTCCTACTTTGTAACCGGGATTTCCATCCTTTCCATCTCTCTCTGTTTCATTGTGTTTTTATTTTTTTATTTCTTCTTTCTTTTTAGTGCCTACTTCCTTATGTGATTGATTATCTAGTGGTTTTAGTTGGCATTAGGTTCTAAAAGTCATTAAGATTGGCCAGCCTCCCCCTTCAATTTTAATTTAAAGCTCTTTTGATAAGATGAGCCAGTCATTTTCCAAATATATTATTTCCAGTTCTTGTGAGGTGCAGTCTGTCCCTTGCCAGTAGCCTTTCACGTAGGTCAGAGGTGTGAAACTGGATTTCTTTGCGGGCCAGATCAGCATGGTAGTTCTCCAAGGGCCGGGGGGTGGTGGAGACAAGCAGGAGGGGAGAAGATTGGAAAGATACCTCCAGTACTTTGCGGCCAGATATCAAAGGATCGGCCTGAGGTGCCTCTGCTGGCCAAAACGGGCCACCGTTTTCGGTCTCCATGGCCGCCTGCAGTACTTTGACAGCCAAAAGGGTGCCTCCGCGGAGCCTGTTTTTTGCCGGCAGAGTCCTGCAGGAGGCCATGGAGACTGAAAACTGTGGCCCATTTTGGCCAGCAGAGGCACCTCAGGCCGATCCTTTGATATTTTAAGGCTGGCCTCGCGGACCAGAATTAAGCCCCAGGTAATGCAGACCATGGTCTAGGAAGCCATGGTCTTGCCCCAGTATTATGCATTGTGTCATGCCTCAATGAACGATACAAGAAGTTATTTATATACATTAAAGACTTTTATATACATTAAAAGCCAAATCTAAAGAAAAAACAGAAAAGAAAAAAAGGGGGCTGAAATATGAGTTTTGTCCTTCTCATCAACAAACACAACCCTACAATCCTCCCTCCTATATGTCATGCAAATTCCTTCAAGCCCTCACTTTGTCTATAACTTTTTTAATCCTCAACCTGTGAATTATAATATCATTTTTTCTTCTTTCAGCAAAAAAAAAAATCCATGTAAGGTTTCCTTCTAGAAAAGACTCATCAAATATTAACATGTCTGATTGAAAATGTTTTCTTTTTAAACTAGGCCTTTCTCTGTTTCCAAATAAAGAATATGGTTTTTAAGTGAGGAGATATAGGTTTCAGGTAGGCCTGAAATCTGGAGCAAAAAAGCTTTGGAGTAAAGATGGAAACTGTGAATGAAAAAACGTCTTTCACATCAACGCTTATTCCCACACAGTAGAATTTACATCTTCCTCCAATTTGCTTGATTTTTCACCTTAACTTTAGTTACAAGATCAGGAACTTTTCACTTAGGAATTCATTAAAACATTCAGTGTTTAATGTGTGCCTAAATGTTTGCATACAATTGTACAATATGTGATAGTTTGTGATACAATGAGAGGAATGTTTATTTTATATTTATTTATTTATTATTTTATTATATTTATATTAATTGCAATAGCAAACCTTTATTATTTATCTTGTGCTTGCTGATTTGATGGAGAAGGGATAGATTTATTGTGTCCTGGGTTAAAAAATCCTAGGCCAACTTTGTTTTCCCAGATGTTTATAATTCTATATTTCCCACCATAAAAAGTTAAGGAGACAGCTCTGTCAGAATTTGCATTTTTTTCAGGGTGGAGGGGGGGGTGGAGGGACAGAGGAATCTGAACTGTAATTGCATGACAAATGTTTTGACAATTTACTTTTGTGTCTTTAGTACCCTTTCAATAGCCCGTCTTCACGGATGGAGCCATGCTTGATGAGCAGCACCCCAAGATTGCATCCATCTCCAGTTACACCTCGCTGGCCGGAGGTGCCCTCAGCAAACCCTTGCTATACAAGTCCACCAATGCATTCCACAAGATATGGAAATTCCAATGACATGTACACCCCGTTAACCACACGGAGAAATTCTGAATATGAGCACATGCAACACTTTCCTGGCTTTGCCTACATCAATGGGGAAGCAACCACAGGATGGGCAAAATAAACACGACTGGTAATAATATCAATCCTACATATTTAATTTAAAAGAAACACAGACAAAATGGTCTATGCCTGTTAGTAGAGTAACGGAAGTCTTATGTGAACATTGGTAATGACTATGAAGATGGGAAATCTCCTGGGCACGTGACTATAAGCATGGCATGCTCTACTGCTCTAGGCCAGTGCAATGGTTCCTCCAAGCAAGCAAGGTTTTAGTGCTGCTATTAGCATTATGTAGGCCAAGGTGTGTCTTTCATTGTGTGTCTTTCTCCACATGCTAAAATCTGCCCTAATATATGTCATTTCAATTATCACTGAATGTTCTCCATCTGCTTTGCTTGTTCATAAACCTACAATTGCAGTAGAAGTTATCTGTATCAGACAGGCCTATGTTCCTCAGCACACCATGGAAGCATAATGGATTTTAAACTCATCCAGTCTGGTCATCAAAAAAAAAAAGTATTGATTTAATAATCTACATCACACTAAGCTACCATAAACAGAATCCTCTAATTTTCCTGTCTTGAGTCCATTTTTGTGTGTTAAAATTGTGTGGAGTTAGCTTCTTGAAACCCTCCTTCAAATGCAGCTATTAATACAGTTTAAAAATGTCTAGTCCCTCAAGATAGATAGGGGAGATCTTACAGTAAGGAGGACATGCTTTCTTTTTCAGCGCATGGCTTAGCATTTTTATCATTATCAACCTACACAATTTAACAGCTAGAAGTGTTGACTGAGAAGCACCCAGTTTTCCTATGGGCCAGAAATAAGCCCAGGGTTAAAACCAGATTGCTTCTGTTTTTGTTTTTTCTGTTTAAAAAAAATAGATAAGATTTTAAAGTGTATTACAGGCAGGCAAAAGGAGGGTATCAATGCTTTCCCCCTAAGTAAATATTCATTTCCCATTTCATATGCTTGTTCCACATGCTTATTTTAGCTTCTTGGTGGAAGGTAGGCAGTCCAAATTTTAAAAAGCAGATTGAGAGGGAGGGTAATCAAGAGAAAATGGAAGATAACTCCTTCCTTTTCTGTACTGCTCTTCATAGTTTCTCCTGCAGCATCGATGTGTCACATGGCAGACAAGTAATGGCTTCATGCAACGCAACATGTAATGCAGTGATCACAATACTGGCTTATATATCTGGGATTTGTAAAGATATTTGACATGCAGTGTTTGATTAGCATCCATATTTTCTCACTGAAACGTTGTAAATGATCTTTAAGGAAAACACATTGGAATGAGCAAATTTTTACTAAAGGAAAATGAAATAAGTTTTTTGTCTCTTTTTAAAAACCTCCACTTGCTTTTTTCCAGAGTTGTTACTGTTGCCCTGAGTTTCTAATGATATTTGAGGCTTTTTAAAGCAGCACATTACAGTAGTTGTGTTTAGGTGAATTTCACTTGTACCTTTATATCGTGGTGCACTTTCCCATTGATCAAATAAGTGTCACCTTAAAGAAAAGATGTGTAATATTGAATGATCACTGCCTTAAATTACTGTGTTTTGTACTATGTTATCAGTATTTATATCACTCTATTGTTATTAAACATAATGCATCCTTAATTACAAGGGGTGCTGCCCCATTTCTATAGAACATTACTGTATGTGTGAAAGAAAAGAAGTGTATTGTAAAGACCAGGTAGGGAAAAACATCTGCTTCTACTGGATGTATAACATCAGCCTTAGTGAAATCCTTCCTTCCATAACTTCACATTGCTTTCAATCTGACCCTGGATGGAAAACACATCTTTAGATCTTCTTTCTCCCTGAAGTTGCTGGTAAACCAATATGGTGATCTAGAGAAATGGTATACTATCTGGGGAAATCTGGGAGTTGAAGTCCATACATGTTAGGAGTTGCCAAGGTTGAGAAACACTGATCTAAAGGATAGCTAGAAGTTGGATAGTCCATTGGGGTGTGTGGAAGAGCCCTAAATATTATCTATCAAAGTCTTGATATTGGACATTAAGACTATGGAAATTAGCACAAACACATCCAAGAAGAGGGTTATTTGGACTCCTATAGGACAACTGCTATGATAAGAATCTTATGAGAGCAAAAAAAAAAGCAATTGCTATGTGTGAGACTTATCATAAAAGATGACAACCAATTTATAATGTCTGGTCCTGGGCTCCTTTGCTAAGACAATTCCTTACGTTTATACACATTTCAAAGTTGTGCCTTTTTAAACCTATTCTGTGTTATGTAAAGTAAGGGGAAATTGTAATTTTGAGTCTTATTTTTCATTGGTATTTTTGTTCAAATTCATAGTTCTTTGTGAATTTTTTTGTAGAAGAACTATTAACATAGGGTGTTATACTTCTGTATTATATAAAAAGCACCTAGTAATTATGGTGGACTTATTACCCTATGGGTAAGATATTACAAGAAAATCTGGCATCAGGCGTTTTAATAATTGTTTTGTAAATAAAATATTTGATAGCACTCAACTGTGGTGATAACTGTTTATGGTTTAAATTGAATTGTGTTATTTGTATAGTTATCCAATATATATGTATGTATGTATATATATATATAAAGACTTTTCACACCTAAATAAAAATGGAACCAATATTATCTTAATTAACTTGAAATATTTTAAGATCTAGACAAGGAACCAAGAATGGTGGTTTACATATATTACACTTCTAAATGTGTCAGAAAGATTATCTACTGTATACTACATAAAATAAATAAGTTTGGAACCAGTTAAAGAAGAACTTTCCTGCTCTCTGTTCTGCAAAGTATCTGTAGAGAGTTGATGGTTTGTTTGTAGGAATGATTCCTCAACTGGTATAAGAGCAATTTTCTGAAAGAAGATAATGTAAGGTCATATGATCATCCCTCCTTTTCAAGACCTTTGTTTCCCTCCACAAAAAAGTTGGGGGAGATATTTTTTGATCCTGAATAACGTGTAGTAGCTTGCAGAGACTTCCCCCAAATCTCCAGAGATTTTCAGGATTTTTTTTCCAGGTAGCTACAGAAAGGAGACGATTAACAGGCTGCTTATTCTTAACTATAATTACGTAAGCAGTTCCTGCAGCCATAGCCCATCAGAAATCTTTGGTAATTCAACATTTTTTAAAGGAAGTGGGCTCTTTCTATGCTTGTTCCTGAATGCTATTTCTCACTGTCCTCCCAATGTTTTAATGATCGCTTAGTAATAAATTAGAGAGCCAGTTTTGTGCAGTGGTTAAGGCAGGGCGTATAGTCAAATCTATAGTTTTTCCAGTTGCAATATATGGTTGTGAAAGTTGGACCATAAGAAAGGCTGAGCGTGAAAGAATTGAGGCCTTTGAATGTTGGTCCTGGAGAAGATTTCTGTGAGTCCCTTGGACTGCAAGACGATCAAAACAGTCAGTCCTTGGGGAGATCAACCCTGACTGCTCTTTAGAAGGCCAGATCCTGAAGATTAAGTTCAAATACTTTGGCCACCTAATCAGAAGGAAGGACTCACTGGAGAAGAGCCTAATGTTGGGAACGATTGAGGGCAAAAGAAGAATGGGATGATAGAGAATGAGGTGGCTGGAAGGAGTCATCGAAGCAGTAGGTATGAACTTGAATGGACTCCAGAGGATGGTAGAGGACAGGAAGGCCTGGAGGAAAATTGTCCATGGAGTCGGACATGACTTCACAACTAACAACAACAAAGGCGGGGCTGTCAAACTCCTGGCCCACAGGATGAATGTGTCATACACTGGCCACGCCCACACCCAGTTTCACGAAGGGGGTAAAAGTCCCAATACATCACATGATGCTGCTGTGACAACATGAGTTTGATACCCCTGAGTTAAGGCATCAGGCTTGAAACCAAGAGACTGTGAGTTTTAGACCTGCCTTATGCATGAAAGCTAGCTGGATGATCTTGGGTTGTCTCAGACCCAGAAAGTAAACAATAGCAAACCATTTCTGAAAATCTTGTCCAGGCAATCATCATGAGTCAACACTGACTTGAAGAGACTTTTTTTAAAAACCCAGGTAATGATCAATTTAAAGAAAAAGTTATTGAAGAAGGCTTTTGAACAGTGAACAATGGCATTCCCATTTTGTATTCCATCCTTTGTGTCATTTGCTTTTGAGCTGAACAGATTTCACTGTCAAACATATTTTCAGTTCTGGAACTCTTGAGAGATTATAACTCTTGGTTATGAAGGGAGTCACCTACAATTACATACTGTATTGGTGATTGTTCATAAATAATTGCCTTCTGAGTGTGTGTGTGACCAAGATCATCCAGATACTTTTGTGCCTAAGGCAGGAATAAGTAGAACTCACCATCTCCCACTTTCTAGCCTGGTGCCTTAATCATAATACCAAACTGGCTCTAAATCATATAAATACCCAAAGTAAACTGCAACACCCACAACTCCAAAATGTTAGGTTTATACAGAATAGATGTTCCTGGTTAACACCTCATCATTGGATCTGGAAAGAATTTTCAATAATTATCTTGATCAGGTGGTAACTATTATCGAAATATCAAAATGAAAAAGTTGTAGAAGGCATTCCTCAAGAAATCTGTAGCTGCTCTGGGGCTATGGCACGAGGAAGGCATGTCTGATAATTTGGAGATGTAGAATTTTGCTCTGTGTGAATTGGATGGCTATATGAATTTTCATAAATAAATTTCTTAAATAAAAGTGCTAATATGAAGTTTGAACTTCTGGAAGTAGATTAGTACACTAGCAAACTGTTTCTTGAAAGATGTTTCCCATGGCCATACAAATTTGATTAAGCATAACTATCTTCTTCCATTCATCTCCAGTTGTTGAATATGTATCCTAGTCTACACAAGGGGAGAAAAAAGAAAAAGTTTCCTTTTGTGAATTTCTTTAGTTCATTTAGAGTCTTATTGTACTGTGATCATTTCCACCCTTAGAGGATGTGTTCATTGACAATGTTTGCACATTATTCTAAGCTCAGATATGATTGATTGTGCAGTTCAGGGAACAACAGTCAACCAATTAGATCAATTCAATTAACAATGATTAAATAATGATTAGTAAATGAAGCTATTGAATCTATTTGTACTAGTGAACATATATATGATTATATAAAACTTTTTTTATATACAGAGGTTCTTTAGTATCTGCAGTATCTCTAGGAGCTTCAACTACAGGTGCTTAGCAGTGAGTCTGGTTCCTCTGCATTCAAAATATGATTTTGTGCTGATTTTATTCCTGTGAAATGGGAACATCATTGCAAAGGTTCCTTTTAATTTCCTGTTAACACCTATCTAATAAATACTGTGAAATTATCATTGGGTTTCCTTATGGTATAGCAATTGCTTGTATGTATGAAGATTTACATAGAACTTGGCAGAGATTTGCATTACAGTTGCAAAATTAATAGTGTGGAATTTGCTGCCATCTCATGATAAATTAACCAATTTAAAAGGGAACTTGACAGATTAATGAAAGATCAGGCTATCTGAGCCTTATGTCTGTTATTTTTCTGGTATTACAGGCAACATTCCTTTGGGCCTTTGTCCTCCTAGCCATGTTGTAAATTTATGCATGTGTTTGCTACACTAAATGGACCAAGTCTTATATTTTCTTGGAGGACTAGAAACTTAGAAGGGGAAAAGCAATGGAAATTAGATTGATCAAATAAATCCACCTTTTTTTGTTCAGATTTCCACTTACTCCGAAGGTCAGTAGCCCTTAATGGATTCTGATCTTCAGCTTATCAGCACTGATGTGACTGACGCTAAAGACCTTCTGAAGTCAACTGCCAAATACTTGCAGAAATTAAATCTAGCTGGTATCAGAAAACGTGGACCATGTGCTTGGTTGGGCACTCCAATCTTCAATAAAGAAAATGGAATTTATTTTGCATTTTCTCATTTAATTTCTGATCTTTTAACTTTTTTCTTGATAACTTCACAAGTATAAAACGTAATGCTGACTAGTTTCTCAGTCCATCTAGTAACCTACTGAAAAATCTTGAGAGACGCTTTTCCTAACTAATAGCTAATAAAGGTAGTCCTTGTTTAATAAGCACAATTGGGACCAGTTGTTAAGCAAAATGTTTGCTAAATGAAACCTGGACTGTGCTTATGTTTTTACTTCAGCTTTCCTTTACTCTACAGACCTGTAAAGGTCATAAATATGAAGATTAGTCATAAAAATACTTTGTTCATTACTGTCATAACTGCAAATGGTCAATACATGAGGACCACCTATGCTTTGCAGGTCATGCTTACTTGACTGCAGGTTTGGAATGGGCTAGTCCAGGGGTGTCAAACTTGATTTCATTGAGGGCCGCATTAGGGTTGTGTTTAATCCTGGGGGGAGGGGCGTGGCCAGGGTGGGCATGGCCATTTCAATGTCACTCATGTTGTGGTGCCTGTGGTGGCTCAAGCGCTCTGCCAGCGAAAACATGTTCCTAAGCTCTGTTTTCAGCTGCGACAGCCTCCTGCAACCCTCTGCCAGCAAAAATGGAGTGCAGGAGGGCCACCCATGGCCCTCCCAAGCTCCATTTTTGCTGACAGAGGCACCGCATGGGGGTCCATCGCTATTTCCAGGGCATCCCTGCGGGCCAGATCTAAGCACCCCATGGGCCAGCTCCAGCTCCTTGAGTTATACAGCCCTGGACTAGTCAATATGCACATATGCCTTGTCATATTTTTAATTTAATTTAGTTTTTTTTATTCAGTTTTATTTACATTTTAATATATGAGTGCACTATGAATTACACAATGCTGGAAAAAAATTGCTTCTTTGGTAGTTGCCCATATCATAACTTCAGGATATGTTCAGACAACATTAGAGAAATGAACAAGTTCTTCAAGCTTGCTTGCTATGTGAACTGAGTTACTCCCCATTGCCTCTCTTGAGGCAGTTGCTGTTATGTGAGCAAACTCCTTCTGTGAGGGAGATCCCTTCATCAGGGCTTGAAAATCCTTTGAAGTGTGATTTTCAAAATATTACGTTTGCGACAATCTAGAAAGCAAGTGTTATGGGATACCTGCTATTATGTACTGTATATTGTGTATAGTTGTCAGTTGACGTTCTCATTCTGGTCCTCTATGGAAGCAGGAAAATACTCTCTCCTGATTGGTTGTTTGGCTGAGCAGTTCCCTATCAAAGGAGCTGTGTCAGCCAGTGAGTTCAGTTGCCTCACAGGCAGTATTGAATAAAGGGCTGTTAGAAATCACTCTGGCCTCACCTCCATTCTTCTCCCAGAACCTAACACCTACAAAGCAGAAGGCAATTTCCCACTTTTGGCTTCTTTCCACAAAT